AATTTGCTAAGGATCACCCTTAACGAAATAAGACATACTGTGCAACGCAACAAGCAAAACTATAAGGAATTGGAAAAATGGCCGAAATTTACCTAGAGTATCAATCACTTTTGAAAGATGATCACAACGAAAGGCTTGCTAAGGCAATGCCAATATGAAGGCAACTGCGGCTCTTTTTCTAAGTATATAGACTGTAAATTTGGGTCTCTGATATAGGGCTGCTTATGAGCATCATCAGAATACAAAAGTCATATACCGATGTTATAATTACATAGCTGTCAGATGGGGATAAAGGTGATTGAGAAGTACCCCTCAGCTATTTATATATTTCTTAACTTACACCCTCATTTCCTCGATTGCATAAGTCGCGATCTCTGCAGCAACAGAACGTCATTGGAATGCCGGTAATGTTTCGTTGAAAGCATTTATCCTCATTGAACTATAAATATCGGATTGTTAACCAAGTCCACTCTTACGAAAGCGAACAGAACAATAAGAACACAAAGCATTGCTCAATTCATACCTGACACACTAAAGTATTGCAGCCTACTTTCTGTATAGTGCTAAATGAGGTGACCTCGGCGGTAGCGTTGTAACAAAAATCGGTATCCTTCTCACATATTTTTTTGTTTTCTCCCACTGTTGAACCTGAGTAAACCATTGTATTTTAATGGATAGCAATGCTCTACAGCAATAAATTTACCTTTCAATACAGAGTATCCGAGGTAACACTCAAGCGAAAAGCTTGAAAAGAAGAAGAGAGGAAATATCGCATGAAAGAAGCCGAAGTTGAACATTGGTCGCTTTACAACAAAGTCTGGTTCATATGATAAACAGACGTAAGAGACTGTGCGAGTGAATGTCTGCCCTGAAAGAAACTCTGACTTGCTATGGGACTACTTTTGTGAACGTCCAATGATGTCCTAAAGCTCTCACATTTGAAGTTAATCAAAGGTATTGCCCCGGACCTATAGAAGTTTCCGTTATGCCTCCAGAAAAGCGCA